TTACGAAGACTTCAGTCGGTATTGGTTTTTTAGATTTACACTATATGGCGCCTTTGTGTTCCATTATGATAAATGCAGATTTCAATCAGCAGATTATATTCTCTACACAAATGACCATATTACCGCCGTTACAGTAACATGTGTTACACCCATCATTAAAACTTTCTCCACCATTATACAATACATCTTTATACAAACATTGATCTGGACGCAATCGAGCTGTCGACACTGAAAGATATGATAAATCACATCAAACACCGGTAAAGAATAAGACAGAAGACAATTCAAAATACCTGATACAATTTATCGATTAAATTTTCAGGAAACTCGATACTTTTTTAATCCAATACATGATCCCGTTAATAGAAAGTTAAACACCTTGATCAAGTGCACCGTGTTTATCTACCTTGTGAGTGGTGGCAAAAAAGAACGTACTATTATAACCTTTTTACAATACATACATGTACATAATAACAGATTCGATACACGAATATTCTCAGGATTACTACAAACTCTTTATTGACGGAGCATTTGACTCGAACATATCCTCTTTGTCTTTCTGTTAGTCGTCCGATAACAGGTAAGGGTCGAGATATCGTGGCTTTTAGATGAATTAATGCATTATTACCAAATATCATAAAACTTTAGAACAAAATGATCAAAAATATGAAAACCTACCAGACGAGTGAATGTAAGATAAAGTCAGTACCAGAATCAGCAGATATGCTTTCACTTCCATATTTCAGCTTTCCAGACAACGGAGAGCAAATAATAAGGTAATTATTCCAATGACATAATATATATATATACTTCTATAAATTATGGTATACTGTCAACGATCATTTACTAGAGACGTTAAAAACTAATTTGGGCCTGTCTTCCGCCATAATTGACATATGTGAGCAGAAGTGCAACTGGCCCTCGCACACGGAGGGAATAAATTGGCGCGCACTACTAGCTCAGCGCTATAGTCTCAGTTCAGCCGTATTACATGACAAGTAAAAATGGCGGACCACTAGGTAATAGTTCAAACGATAGGAGAGATTGCAGTTATAATTGTTATTACTATTCTGACGATCGAAATGTGTACAGGAAAGGGTATTCTTGACACAATTCAACAAAGTTTTCCTCTAAGATTTCTTCCGGGACTACCGTATCACCAATAATGCATGTGTGTTTTGTTCGTCGCCTGAGAACGTCGCGCACGGTAACCAGCAGACCTTTTGCCATCGGCCACGAGTGGTAAAAAATATCAAACACGACAGATATTTTCCACACGACCACGAGTGACCAAATGCACACTTAGAATCACCCGCACACGATGTGCTACTAGTCAAGCGTTATTAGCACTGCACCATTTTTCTCTGTGCGCGGGCACCCGTGGTTAACAATTGATCAATTATTTAGTCATTTAAAATAATTCATGCGACGGCTTGGAAATACGATTGGTGTTATGCACTACATTCATATCTGAAACAAAAACAAAACATTTGAAACACGGAGAAAAATGGCTACCCATCGTCATAGAGTGTCATTTGGTTTATAAGGTATATAAAGTGTAATGTTGATTAATAATCCATATCTACCTATTTAATCAAATTGTAATTATTGTTTATTGCACAGTTTTGAAGTAAATATTGATAAGTTGTTATGCATTTATAATGGAATAATACGCCTACTGAACGGGTCATACAACCATTACAACCACAACGGATCTTTTACATTGTGTAGTACCCGGTGTCCACCACAAGCAATATTTTTGTTTTACGGTCCAGTTACTGATTATCTTAAGAGAGTTTATTGTTGTAAAATTACAAGACCTAGATCTTATATCTTGAAATGTAAGCACACGTGAATTTATCCATACCCCATTTTCGAGAAATTGTATTTTACTTTACGTCAATAACAGGGCATGGTAATCACCTTGGCTTTTGATATATACTTGCCACAATGTAGCGCGCGTGTGATAGGCACTATAGTCTTATATATTTTACCTATACAACTGCCAGTAATATTATGCACACGGCATTTACCTAACAACTCTTTTACCTACGATACTATTTATAGAATAGAGACCCAGAGCCAACTAAGATTCTTTCAACTTCTTCAATGTCGAAACAAATTTATTCTCGCTGGTAAGACTTAGAATTTTACATTTATGTTGATGGCGTTATCAATCTAAGAACGTGTCGGTGATGTTGATTTCTTAGTTTGAAAGTCAATGTTTGAGTCCGAATTAGGAAATTGTACTGGGATTCCATTCATGATACTGTCGAAGACAAGACAAAGGATCAAGGCGGACGTATTGATATATATCGAGTATTCACTAAGTTTCTTTAATGCATTAAGATTCCAGAAAGGACACTTTTGCCATATAACTAAAATGACACGATGAATCGTGATTTGGCAATCATATTAATGTCAATGATCTGAATCAAAAATGTAAATATTAGAGTTATTGCCCTTAGATGATATTTTGCGCTACAGGGTTTTGTTACACACGACTGATATATTACATAACAAATGTTAGCTTTTGTTTCAAGCTTTCATGAATGACAATTTCGCATATTTGAAAAAATATTTATTTTATAAAATGAAGTTAGACTTAATGTAAGACTGTAATTAATGGTACATGATATATAATGTACTTTATCTACTATAGAATATGACGTATGAAAAGTAGGTTAATGAGTTCCAATTTCAGTATTATGTTATTACGTCTTAGTTGTGAATTTAATGATATATGATAAATTTGAATACAGAATTATAATTGATATTTCTGTCAAATATCCAAATATAAAGAATTTTGTTACATGGTAATTGTAATGTATATAAATACAGAATACATGCATTGCAATTGCTTACTGTAATGGAATAATAATTACAAAAACCAAATGAATACAGTGGCGTAATTTTATAATGTACATGTATTGAAATACAGATTTGAATCTAGAAAGACTAGAATATATAAAATAATTAAATCATTACAATGGTATAATATATTCAATATCTAATGGACGTGTACGATATAGACTTTTTACCCACTTATAGGTAAGAGTTACCTTCCTTTTTACTTTAAAATCACCAGAGGTCCCAAGTGTATTCAATTTCCTTCTTTATGTCCTTATTGAAATATATTCATAGGGAGAAGTTGTGTATTACTGGTATGAAATTTTTTAATTTGTTTTTTTTTTATTAGATTAAATCAATTAATTGGAAGACATATTGAGCTCATCAATGGACATTGATACCTATGTTTATGTTTATTAAATTTCCATCTTTAAGTTTTAGACTACAGGTGTCAACCAATAAATATATTATAAACCTTCTAGGCTAAACCACCACTGTATCCTGTTGTATGATTCATTAATAAGAGATCAGCAATACTACGTTGTTAACTTTAATAATATAAAAGAATATTATAGAGTACCTGTATATCGGGTGTCGTAAAAAATCTCCAGTTTGACAGGTAGTATCTCAGTTGTTGGTAAACTGATCTCTTTCAAAATTCTTACAGAAATACTTCAACTCTGAAAATATGAAAGTCATCGAATACAATTGTACTAGTACTGCCCCGAACGAAAAAGCATGTCAAAAAACCCAATATCAAGGAAACTTTCCTATTTAAACCTAAATTCAATGTGCCCTCTATCTTCTTCGACCACCAATCACGACCGATTTTTCTACCCCGAGATGCTGTAACGGATCTCATCTGAAGGTATCTGCTCCCAAGAAGCAACTGTCCTGCCTTTCGGTTCCTGTTCAGTAAGTTTGCCCTGCTGACTCCAGTACACTGTTTGTTAAGAGAATTCCAAATTGGGTTACAGCCTGGGAATTGGGGCGGCCAGTCATTCTTGTGAATGAATTCTGGTGTAGCCTCCTCCAGGTATGCTAGTATGCGATGGGGTCCCGTTTTGTTGGTATCTCGGGATGGAAATTGGTGATCGAAGAAGATGGAGGGCACCTTGAACTAAAGTTGAAATAGGAAAGTTGCTTTGATATTGCATTTTGACATGCTATTTTGTTCGGCGCAGTACTTTTAATCGATGGCCTTCATATTTTAAGGGTTGGACAACGACATCGTGAAGTACATATTTGAGAATTTGGAAATATATCATTTTACCAACAGCTGAGATACTACCCGTCTAACTTTGGGACCTTTTTTGCGACATGTAAAACTAACGTCACCAGTAGTGTTATACATATATAAACTAATTATTCAACACCCAAATGTAATGTAAACTATAGTCGAATAAGCGTATATCATAGATAAACCTTTGAACATTTTGGATCCACACACTTAGTAGACTATGTTTTACGACCATAAACACCCAAAAATAGTTCACTGAGCCATTTAAGGATTTTAACAAAAATTTGGTCTTAACCGACAAATAAGGAATTGTAGAGTTATGGCCTTTGGCCAGCAAGTATCGCGCTGTATCGTGGGCGTGAATACTAGAGCTCCACTAAATCTGTGCTTATAAATTGGTCAAATCAAAAGATAAAAGGATCTGGTCACAACTAGTCCGATCCGATTTTAAATATCAATCCAGTTTCACGATAAGCAAGATATGCATTTGAATGTCAATATATAGTCAATAATGTTTATATTGTGTAAGGTTTATAACGGATCAGTGACAATTTCGTGTGAATTTTTAATTTGTATTATATTGTATCTATGCGCAATATATACCAGCCTGAATTGTGATCCATTAGCTCAACTTTCAATTCGAGAAAAAGTGCATGCGCAGATGATGACAAAAACCAATATTTTGTATCTACATACAAATCTGTACACTCGAAAGGAACTAACAAAGAATCTTTCCCCGTGAACATTTACAATATGTAATTTATCACAAATATGTGGGAAACTTTTAAGCTGAACCTTCTGTTTTAATCGTTTTGTGAATAGTGGAAGCAGTGTTATCATAACCAGCGAGTTTGTGATTTTAAATAATTTACAATATAAACAGTTGTTGATGTAGGTTTAAGAATCAAATATGGGTAGATTTCTAAGCAGTGATGAGTGTTGCCATTTATATGCTTTATCATATTGTAGGACGCAGAAGAAAAGAAACTCAATGGATACAACCCGCTTAAAAACAGCAGCAAGAAGGGAATCATCGGGATATACCAGGGAATCCTCGTCTAAAAATAGATACGACGAGATTACAATTTATGACCTGCCTGATTCGTTGCTCCTGTATATATTTTCCTTTTTGGAACCAGCAAATGTCTTGACTGTGATTTCCACTTGCAAATGGTTTTATGAAATAGGTACGGAAATATCTCATTGAACTCAGGGACCAAGAACACTTTGACTCATTTATGCACTATTCTTTTTCTCATCCTTCGTCCGTGGTTCCTGTTATTTCAGAAAAACAAAATTTGATCACATAATAATGTCAAAATAATTCCTTTGATACCCTATATATTTCTTTTCTCTCATGGAACTGGATATAATTGTACTCCATATCACTTACTGAAGTTAATCACTGACGTATATGTTTTTTGTTCTCTTTCAGGAAATGATGAATGTTTGTGGAGGAATCTTACATTCAGAGAATGGGGTCCCGAATGCACTAAGGCGCCATTTGTAAATACATGGCTTGAAGAGTATAAGCATCTTCACTGTCATGCTCCTGTGATGTTATCAGAAGAATTGTGTGAACATTCTGATGAAATTTTCCATATTTCATTTTCTCATAATGGCAAGTTGTTTACTACAACTGGTAAAGACGGTTCAGTGAAGGTAAGGATTTGTCAAAGACGTTCTGTAGGATTCTAGACTATGATACATATCATCAGTTTTTTTCTGAAACTGAAATTGTGATTGTAAAATATCTCATTTACTCATTTGTTGCAGTCATTAGTGCTACAAATTTGAAAATCTCGTAGAATCGTACATCAACTTGCACCTGGGAAAAGGTCCAATGTATTGTTTAGGATGCATGTTTAACATAGTATAGGCCTAACATTAACAAATGCAGATTGTTTCCAGTGAAGAAGAATCAAATATGAAAATGTTATGTTATACATTATCTAGGTATGGGAAATTGGTTGCCCAACTAAGCTAAAGTATACTTACAACCTTACACAAGACGCTGGATGGAATTATACGCGGTATTCAGCATTTAATAAAGATGATACTAATCTACTGGTCTCTGGTTTGAGATTTCATTGTGGCTGGGTGGCTTGGTTCTCCTTAGTCGACGGTAAGTCGATCTCATCAAATAATTCCATTCTGTGTCTCGTGAATCGCATTTAATATTCTTTGGATGTAAAATCCATATTCATAATAAGAAAAGGTTTAGGGAAATAATCATAATTTTGAATGTATCAATAAGATTAAGTATGCTTCATTAAGCAACTGTATGACTCTTTTAGGCTTTACTTTGACCTGGACTGACGTCATGACACCCCAAGGAATGAGAGGGGCGTGGCTATCCAACCATCGTCTGCTGTATGGTCTTCAATCAGAAACGGAGGAAGCTGTAGATCTGTGTGTTGAATGGGTACGTAGTGTCACTTATTTTAGGGGCTTGCGTAATTTCGCTATGTATATATCTAGGATTCAGCATGTGTGAGAGAAAGAATATCGCGTATGAACTTCTTGTATTTTTTCAACTTTTTATCAATAACAAGATCGTCCAAAGTAGATCTTCTTAGAAGGGAAGGTGTACATAAATCAGTTGTGTCGGCTGGTTTTCGGTGCTTTTTCAGGACAGATATAGAAGGAATTACGATTTTGACTCGTTTGTTGTGTTTTAGGAAGGTGCAAATGGAAGTCACACTGAAGATGGAGAGCCCCAACATATCCAGGAAATTAGTTTTGATGTTACTATCAGGATACAGTTTCTGAATGTTGTGAGAAGGAAACATATGATGGCGAGCGATTCCCTCTTTAATTCGGTGAACAATGATTACCATAATACTAATGACTCACAAAACAGAAACCAAATGAACAATGACTATTACTTGTCTAAACAAGAGAATGGCTATACTCTAGTATTTGCTACTGGATACTGTGATGCTCTCAATCAAATCGGGATAAAGTACATCTCAAAATCTAAATTACGTTCTGTGATACGTCAAGGCAATAACGATAGTAATAACCGAAGACAAGGGGAGGTGATTCGAGGACGTCCATCGATTAAAAGGAAACAAAATGCTCATTGTGATTATTTGATAGATCTGCATGGTCAAATCCTCGGAATGAGAGTCAGCATGAATAGCAGGTAAGATGGAAATATTAACTTTATTCGGATTCTAAAAAAGATAACCAAAAGGTCCAAAAGGAACATATTCGAAGCTCTTGTCGTCTATCGAAAACTATATTAATGAACCCAGATTGGTCAATTTAGCGGTATTGGTTTATCAGAATTTATTGATGTATTCTTTCTACCATCCATTTAATATTCGAATACATTCATGAACGTCCAAACCTTTATATGCTTTTACAAGCTTTTTTTAGACATCTCCGTGTTGTTTGTAACATGTGACTTATTTCAGATATCTTGTGGTGAATATGAGACGATGGATAGAGGAGCCAGATGGATCAGATCCTTACGAGAGGCCGGAACTCTCAAAGAACATGGAAATACGCTTGGTTGATCTGTTCTCATTGAAGGTAGACCAGATGGTATATACTGGACACAAAGCAGTGTCTGATACAGACAGTTTCTGTTTCTGTTTTGGTGATGCTAATAAAGATTTCGTTGTTTGGTAAGAGATCAGAACGAGGATTTTGAGCTAGTGGGTAGAATATACGGTTACATAACTGCTGCAATAGGCTACGAATGCTACAGAGGGTAACCATAAATTTCTGGTCTGTCTCGTCAGAGGAAACGATGAGTAGCATCATAATCCTATAGAAACCGGCTGCGGCCATCCTAGATTTCTCGCCTACGGAAAGTCGAGACACGACAGGAAAAAGGCGAGCAAGCGAGGGTGACAAAGGCGAGGAAAATATTTCTTGCCTTTTTCCGTCACTTTCTCAACTTTTTTCTCGCCTTTTTCCTTGCCTTTTTCCTCTCTTTCTCACCCTCTTTCCTCTTTCTCTCCCCTTTTCCTTGCCTTTGTCCCCGCTTTCTCGCCTTTGTCCCCACTTTCTCGCCTTTGCCTCGCTTTCTCGCTTTCTCGACTTTTTCCTCGTTTTCTCGCCTTTTTACCTCGCCATTTTCCTCGCACTTTATTCATTCGTCTTTATTAATACACATTTTTGGGGAAATGGTTCATTTTAAGTAGATTATTTAAAAATTGAAAAAATCATACGAAATTGATTTCCAAAGAATGTAACACATGTATATTCTTTCAAAATAATGAGTTTTGCTGTTGTTCATTGTATGTGGTAGTTTCCTTTTGTATTAATGTATTAAAATCAAAGGATGAACTATATTGAAAATCAAAAATATTTAGTCCTGCTATGCCATTGTCATTGTCACTAGGACCTAGCCATCTGATTTCCAAGATACCAGCATATCGTATATCCATGATCGTTTTTGCCAATAAAAAACCTTTTTCCATAGAAGCTATATGTATTTATATTACAGTGGAAGTGAAAGTTATCAGGCCTTTATCTGGGACAGACATTCTGGAGTTTTATTATCAACATTAGATCACCTAATGGCTGGAGTTAGTGCCGCAGCAATCAACCCTGTAGATCAAGAGTTTGTAGTCTCGGTTGGTGATGATCAAGTCGTACGAGTTTGGCGATCAAGAGTTAAACAGAAACAATACTTAAAACAGTGTGCGACACTCGATATCGATGCTGGTGATATGGAGTATAATAAGCCAAGTGATCAAGACTATTCCACCAGATTGTGAACTTCCACGCATGAGTGTAGCCAAAGAATATTGTGTGGTACTCTCTTCCAAAAATTTGGTTTGCCAGCCTATACCCTGATGTTCATTTAGGTCATTTAAAGATGTGCTATAGAGGATTGTTGTTTGATATTTATTAGCAATCTTTATGTTCTAATATGTTTAATCCCAAACTACCAGGTGCTGTATGTTACTCCAGAGCATGGCCTTAATCATGTGTATCGCCATTTCATCTGAACTGCTGGAAAGGAAGCCTACACGAAAAATAAGTATTATTCGCAATATCTTAATTCATATTTCATGTCTTTCTTGAACGTTTCGTCGCATCTAACTTTTCATGAATCCTGCTAGCTGTGATATATAGATGTACATAACGATATTACAAGAAATAAGTTTAAATTACCTACGTGGTTTGATTCAGCTTGAAGTGGGATATACACTTCTATACTTCCTCTGTGTTGTGAGTCATTTACAAGGTTTTTTTAATATTAGACTTTACATTAAAGTCCCAATAGTTTAAAATGTTGTTACTCATGACATATGGAATCCTTGCATCAGATTCCGTTGGCGTTCAATAAACTTACACCGGTTCCGTGGTTGGACCGAGTCCCACCTCCGAAGATTCTATCAAAATTATATAGTTATAAAACCCTCCTGCTTTGCTGTGATATAATATGTAGGCTTATATTTATTTTCCCAGAATGTGGTGTTATAGTATTGTTCTATGCTACCTTTCGCAAGAGATACCAGCCTAATAACTTCTTTTTCTGTGAAAACTCTTAGTAAAGACTTTATATTAAAGTCAGTGTATGTCAGATTATGTTGTTAAAATGTTGAATATGAAGAATAAATATGTTATTACCGTTGTTGGCTTTTGAACCACACAGCTCTGTAGGTACCACATATACACTATTAGCTATGCGGACAGTTGAAATTGCGTACCGTAGTCTACATTGGCTCTAGTCAGAGAAATCGAGCTTTTAGGGGTTTTATAGGCCTATACAGTTCGATAGAATTTCAACTATAGTGGTGTACGGGAAAAAAGAATCGCAAACTGGCCTATTATATATATATTAGTGGCTTTTTTATAAGAACATTTGACCGTGCGGTAACAATCACCAGTATGAAATATTCAACTTTCTGTCATACACTTCTTTTTGGGTTTCAATAGCGATCTTCTTAACGATAATGAATGATTTCGTCCAAATTTTGCCCTCGTAAAATGTCTATAAGCTATACGGTACCTCAAGGCTTTTCGAAAAACAATGACAGTAACTCATTAGATTTTTTTCCATTTTCCTATAGCCTATATGCAACAAATTCTTTTAAATATTCAAGAATTGTACCTTCTACAATTTTTAACGGCAAAAATTGGACGCATTTCGAAGAACAAGGTCAATAACTCATAACAGTAAATTTCCAATTCTATTGATATAAGGATTCATCCTTGAGTGATAATGAACAATTTCACCAAGTTTTGTCACAATCCGTCAAGATTTGTGTCTTCTAGGGTGTTTACAGGCAAAAAAGACAACTCTGACGCCCCCCCCCCTCCTTTTTTGTCAGTCTTCTTTCTTGATTCAATTGGGGTATGAGTGCCTGAATAAATTATCATTATCAACATGGCAAGCAATAATTTTTGTAGTCTAATGACTTTGCTCCGTAGAGTAGTTTCCCTTACTTACAAAGGAAAATGGCGACCTTGGCTAATGTTGGAAAAGGATTCCTGACAAAAATAGCCCCTTCTCTCCGTGTTGGATCAGTCAGGTTTGTACCATCTGTTCAATCGGTTCAATATTCAATGTCCCCTTATCATAAAACAAATTTCATCATGAAATTATTTCTATAAGTTGATTAAGTGAGAGTAACCTATTTTAATAGAAATAAAAAGTTTGTGTTGTTACCTTTCTTTCAGGCACCCTAACATCTTTTGCCATGGCATAAGCCCATGAGGTAATCATTAAATTTCATAGTTTTTTAGTTGTTCTACTTATTTATTGTTTCTTCCTTTTCTAGAACTTTGATTTCTGTTGGTGAACCATGTCCAGAGAAAACAGGTATTGATGATCACAATCTAAAAGTAACAGAAGAGAAACATGCTGAAACTCACATTGAAGAGATTGTAACAATACCCATTGAAGATAAGGTAGCCTACAGTACTTAACTGATAAGCCAATGCAAAGTACAGTTGTGTTACCTATATTCATGCATAAAAGGATTCAACACCGAATTTCTTCAACGAATATAAACGTTGTTTGGATACCCGGTGGTATAATTATCATTTCTTAATATTTATCAAAAGGAGAAAAGTAAATCGTAAGAGTACAGTGGTGTAACCTATTTTCGTGCATATCAGACGAATTTCGTCAAAGTTAAAAAACGGAATCTTTTTTTATTTCTTAGATGTTTCCTCAGATATTCTACAAAATAATTAAAATTGGTTTGTTTCGGTTTTCTTTATGAATCCTTCACTTTTACACATATTTCATGAGCAACCAACTCGGCAACAGCGACAGAATGCGTCGCCTATTTTCGTGTACAATGTTTGATCTATAAATAAGTCACATTGTATGGATACCGGGTGGTATAATTAACTTCTCTTAGTATTTATCTTTTATATCAATTCATTATAACTAGTGACAATTCCTTCAAAGAACCATGATTTAAAAAAAAATGGTGACTGACAAAATAAGATACGTAGCGTGATTTAATGCTAAAAGTCATTGAAACAACATAAGAATATGTCCCACATTGTGTTCCATAAATGCTAACACGGAATCAGCTAGTTGATGCATGATTTCATTCGTTGGACTACATTCTAGCAGACGACACTTGGAATTCCGATTACTGCTTGGGATCATAAGGAAATTCGGTAGATAAAAACTTGTGACGTTTGGTAATAACTGAAACCTGCCATTTTGTATTTGTCAAAGTAAACATTAATACATTTTACCTTGCTTGAAACTACTGGATTCATTCTACTTGCTGACATTGTACAAAAAACCCATGTTTATCAAAACAAGCAAATGCGGAGGTCACACGAGGTCGCAAATGTAAATTATTAATCATTTCCGGAAATGTACGAAAATTAGGTTAGCACGAAATTAGGTTACTTGACTGTAATTTATTGCTAAAATTCATTGATTCAATATACCGGTAGGCTAACAAAATATTTTCAAATATTGCTCAATACATCAAGAACAATTGTGTTTGTATTTTCATAAAGAAATATTAAAACAGAACCTGAAATATGTTGTTACTGTACAATACTCAGAGTTTAATTTGTCTGGTAATATTTCAATTTTTTCATCATATATTTTTAAATAAAGGCAATAGAACTATAAAATATTTCTAATCATTAAGCTGTATATGTACTTATATCAGTCTTCAAAACATCGTGCCCAAACCACACCCTCATTCGTCATAATTCATTGGAGGTGTGGTAGCACAAGTGAGAAAAATTACGTATTCATAGCTAAATGTTGTCCAATCAAAATTGGCCATACTGTATTGGTACCAAATTTCAGCCAATCAAAACAAATCACCCGTTATGAAAGCAGCGTGCTATTACCATTTTGATGAATATGTCCGGTACAGAATTGAGTAAGATTTTTGTTAAAGAATTGAAGATGAGAGAAAATCAAACCTTACTTTGGAAGATTTACTTGGAAAGAATGACTTCTTATCTCTTCAAACTGGCAGTGGCGAAGAGGTGTTGTTTACATGACCTCATTTCTGATTGGTCAGATTTGAATGCCACCAATCTCATTTCCACTCCCCCGAAACTAAGTGTAGTGGGCTTAGTTTAATACGGATTAATAAGACTTTGTCAAAACCGGTATTCGTGATACGATGTCTTCAGACTGACAAATTAATGATGTAATGATGAAGCTCAAAGATATATTGGGCACTATGTTTTGTTTATCCATCATAGTGCTACTGGTGAAATAGTAAGGTTTAACTTTATAACTCCCTTTCTTTTTAGATGGATATATCAGCTATATCTGGTGTACCAGAAGAGCACAGAAAAACTAGAATGGTGAGAATCTTTGTTCCTGCTAGAAATGCCATGCAGTCTGGTTCATATGGTACAAGAAATTGGAAGATAGAGTTTGACCAACGAGAACGATGGGAGAATCCTTTAATGGGATGGGTTTCAAGGTTAGTTCGAGCCTTTATTCTTAGTAGGTGTAGCTATCCTGCTCAGAATGTAAACTTTATGAAGTAATAAAATGTTCAAAAAAAGCTGTCCTGCTCACCCAAAGGATTTAAGTTTTACCAACTACATTTTATAAGAAACCCTTTAGGATTTCCAGAAAGTAACTGAAAATGGAGCAGACCAGTATAAATAAGAATCATTAGTTCTCATTGTTAAAATAAGTGAATGGACAGTTAAATATGACTTTATTCATTAGATGATATTGGAAAACTTGTATTGTTTTATTTTTTTCTCTTCAGTGCTGATCCTTTATCAACTATGAATTGTGAATTTAACACAGTGGAGCAAGCTCAAAAATTTTGTGAGAAAAATGGTATGTATTGAATCAGAAACGTCACTTCATAATTATTAAAGCCATTGCTAACATTGGGGTTACAATACATATCAATGTACAGTATTAAATATCCATTCAGCAAACAGACCTTTAGATTGATTGTTTTTTTTCTGTCTGAGATTTAAGTATTCTTGATAATGTTTTCAGCTTCTTGTATAAGAGTGGTAATCTTCATAAAAGTATTTTAAACTATTCATAAAATAAAGTAATATGATATTTAAACATGATGTATTTTCAGGTTGGGAGTATTTTGTAGAGAAACCTCATGTACCAACTTTTAAAAAGAAAAATTATGGAGATAATTATTCCTGGAATAAACGAACCAGAAAATCTACCAAATAAACTGAAGTTTAGAAGTTGAATTAAATGTGTGATATGTTTTAAAATTATTTTTCTGAAGATTTATCAAACTATTTAATATCCTTTACAATTCTTCCCATTCCTTCATGAATTTTGAGATTGGAGAATGAATAAAAAGTACCAAATTGTCCAAACATGACACAAAAGAAGTTTTTTTTAAGGGATATAACTCTAAAAATAACACAAACTAAAGGTCTATGATTGAGTGATAACATATATTTGTAGATTAAATGCTATATACTCGTTTGAGTTGAGATATGGTATGTAAATATAAGTAAAAAAAATAGAATATGAAGTGTAAATAAAGACAGTAAAGGTTTTGAATATCAGAATTTATTTGTGACATTGTTCTAAATATTTTATTTAACTTGATCGATGATTATAATGCAGTCATATTTTTTTTGGTACATGTTGGGCTTCTACAGCTTTTGTGTGTGGTCTACCCACGGGATGCCCACTTCACTATCGTAACCAAATTTTCCTAATTCTCTACCATAATTCAATAAAATATAAATCATTACTTCATTCGTGAACATTATTTCATGTTCCGCAGCGAAAAGTCACAAACTGTAGAAATAAATCCACTCAATTAACTGCTGGTGACCTTGAGTTTAGAGCTGAAGATGGCATAAGAGACAACAATGCTTTACTTCGTTGATACAAATGAAAGTTTATCATGCACCTCATTGCCTCTTCTATGAAACTATCATACTTGATATATCTGAAACAGTTATCCGTAACTTTATATAGTTCTTGTGGAATGTCCCTGACATTTTGTAACAGACAACTCAAGTGATAATTATTTCATGAAAAATATAAATCGTCTGCCTATATTTCTTGATTAAAAACTATATTTACCGTCTGGTAATCCGAGGTTGATTTAAGACTACAATAGTTTACCCTTTATAATTACAGTTATTTTTATAGCATGAAGGGTACCCTTTCGTTGAAAAATATTTTATATGCAGAAAGTAGTTAAAAATAAGCCTTTAGCTGAATAAATAAAAAGAAAATAAACTAGGGTCCAAAAGAAACGATACCAACTTATTTTCAAAATTGTTTTTTACTAAGTGAATTGTCTAATATGAAAACATGCCAATTCGTATTGCACATCCCAAACACAGCATAGTCGATAAAAATACCGGGAACACGTGATCACTTCCGGGAAAAAACGTAAATTTCGTGAAAGTGACATTTCCCTCTCTAGCATGTTCTGCACGTGCATAAAAACTGTATCAAACGGCTGATCAGACACGTTGATATCACAGCAACAAAAAGAACACAAGATATGCCACGTTTGACAGCCATCGAGAGAGAGACAGCCGTTGGAATGGTCCAACAAGGAGCGACACACGTCGACGTCGCCAGAAGGTTGGGCTGCGCACGCATCACTATCACCAGGTTGATGCAGCGGTTACGTCAGACAGGTCAGACGTCAGACAGGCCCAGGAGTGGAAGACCACGAGTAACCACGCCCCGTGAAGATCGTTACATCCGGGTATTACACCTGAGGAACCGCACCGTAACAGTGACGTCCACGGCGACTACAGCACTGGGACACAGGATCAGTCGACAGACCGTCTACAGGAGACTACGGCAGTATGGTATCCGGCGACGTCATCCCTACCGCGGACCGCTCCTAACGCCTCGACACCGGAACAACAGACTGATCTGGGCCAGGCGAGTTCGACGTTGGCAACGCCGGGACTGGGCACGTGTTATGTTCTCTGATGAGAGCAGATTCCTCATCTTCAAAAACGATGGACGGCAGCTTGTATACCGACGATTTGGTGAACGTTTGGCGCCTACAGGTCCGGCCGTTTGGAGGTGGAGGGTTAATGGTTTGGGGTGGCATATGTGGTGACGTCAAAACGAGGCTTGTCGTAATTCGTGGAAACCCGCTACTGACTTGACTTTGTGACGTGTGGTGTGACATTTCCCGTTGTTTCTGTGATCAGTGCTCTAACGAAATGTTCTTTTTTCGACCCCACCCATCTTTAAAGGCTTGTCATATTGGTTGTACAGATTTTATTGAAATGAAATTTTTGTACAGATGTTGTGAAAGGATTTCTCAAAAGCATAACACCAATCCTAAACTTCTGCATTGTTTAGTTTTTCTTTTACGTCGTTGCAAACAGGTGGTATCGTTTCTTTTGGACACTAGTTTAGATTAGTAGCAATTGCGATTGTTAAGTGGACATTGGGCTCAGGTAATACGATAAATTGTCAATTTCCGACAAGATCCCAGTTTCTGTCGAACAAGCGCAACTGCAAGTTTTCGGGTTTTTTTCCAGTAATTGGCCAGATAGTCAATTGTACCACCAGTTACAAGCAGTCGTTGAAAATACCTTATGTATGCTTAAGCTACCCTATTCCGAATATTTGACATGGTAGACTATTTTTGTATTTCCAAATTAAATTTGAATTACTCCAGTCTTGGTTTACCCCATTTAACAATATACTAATGCGAACTTCGAAATTGTACCTTGAATGCAATAGCCACTATTCTTTTATCACGAAATGCGTCGATCTGACTGGGTTGTACTCTAAGGCTCTAAATATTATAGCTTTGTGTTCACAGACTCTCTGTTTTTCTTTCGCTATCGTACAATCAAATCGCTTCTTTTACTAACTTCCACGATAAGAATTGCAGTCGAGGTAGAAGTTCTTAATAGCTTGACATTGTTAAGATGGACTAAAACATAACATGTCCCATTCTAATTTTCAGAACCTGTTAATAGATTCTTGTCGTATTGTGCCTGAAAGGTACCAATAATTCTGCCTTAAGTATCTGACCCAATAATTAGTGTTATTTCTACTACACTGATTTTGTAATAAAATAATCCGATTAATAAATCAATTCTACTCATTTCTTCATGTAATTCACTAATCACAATAATTGGGTCGCCACAGTGTCATCAGGTATAATAATAGCTCTCTACACGCTATCATTAGGGGCACCATTGAAAAGATTCCATTTTACTTTTTTTACAGATGTAATGGCGAAAACTTATAAAACTGAGCTTAGTTTTCTTTGCAGTAATCTGATAGATTTCGACCAAACTTTAACTGACATAGTTCTCGTCTGTAAATGATGACATTGTGTATGTTTTATTGCAACAATATCAGACGACGGAATTTAAATATGAAAAGTACTACGTTTTAAGCTGGAAAGCAATTTTTTTAGATGACTTAACCCATTTATCTATCAGAAGAAGAATCTACAATGCAGTAACAACATCACAAATCAATGGCTTATATCGATGGTTTCTATGAATAGATCTTGTTTACAGTCGCACCGTTAATATTTTTCAATATATAATCTATAAAAGATCCAGACTATATAATCTATATTTGTTTGATTTTCTATGGTCGGTTAATCACAGATTAATGGTCGATATTTTATTTATATGAACTGTAAAAGTCTCAACAGTCGCTGAAAGTCATGAAAAGCAGATTTTCAAAGGTAGTCTCACTCACGTTAAAGTGAGTTTTATTAGCTGAATACATTCTTGATACATACATAATCATACATCATTCAATAGCACAATATAAATAAGGAAAGAATACTATACACTACTCAATGATACAGTATGAAAATATGTATCTTTGAAAAGGCCTTATAGTTTTGGTTCATGTACCATGTGTTTTATCTCCCCATTATTGTCACCTTTATTCGAATAAATAAATCACTAACACTATACCGATTTTTAGATAGAGTCTTCATAATCAGTTAACTAGCTCAGATCGGTGGTCATCTCTTACAAGACTCTTAAACTCTGGCTTGTACTCTTCTAGTCTATCTGGAAACTTGTTACCATTTATAGATGTCAATTTGCTTGAATCAAAGGAAGTGGTAATTAGGTTTGTTGCTATCGTTTATCAAGTGTCCATTCGCTATTTAAATAACCCTGCTTATATTCTAAACACAACTTTTCTATTTTCTTAACGACTTGAGTTAACATAAAAACATTCATTCCAGACCATAACAAAGCGCTACATAGAAACATTTCACTTTTTTTATAGGTCGGGAACACAACCACAACTCAACACTTAACTCAAGCTGAGGAGACAGTTGTAATCTGTTTTTTCCTATGGATTCGCGTCTGAATACTGGTAATGAATTTAAATTAAAATTTCTGTTAGTCAATTACACTCTTTAATTTCTACCTCATGAGCCTACAAAATCTGTATGTGCATTGGAAAATGATCATCATTCAATATCGACATGAAAACAATGTCTCAATTCTTCGAATAGGAACAAAACTGAAACGTAATTAGAAGTCAGAATTAAATTTCAACAAAATAAAGCCTATATGACACACACAAACGTACACTTACAGTTTTCATATCGGATATTTTGGACGACTGATATTGGTACGTGAACGAGCTTTTAAATAGCAAATTTGTCTCTCATTTCAAACGATGGAATGTTTTGCGAGATACTGGTAAATAAATAAATATCTTCCTCTGCCAACTAAGCATTAATTTTATCCACCAGTGTCATGCCGTTAGGTTGAGAAAATAACAGGAAAAGAAAAGCATCGTAAATTGCTACAATAATAACGTGACAAATTGTTAATCATGAACCGTTTCCAGTATAAAGGCTAGAACAAATAAGGGGCAATTAATCTCGAATAACCTTCTATAATAGCTATCACCGACCAGATCATGTAGTTCTGGTTGCTTTTCTATGGTCTTCGATAAAACACTTAATTACAGGTGAATAGAAATGTTCAACTGGTTGTATTAGAATATCAGAGGCAATGTTCGCTTAGTCTGTTAGGTTTGAAAACATAAAATTCAGATAGTAGTTTGAAATGAGATGAACTCAGCGTGACAATGGTATATTTGAAGTTTTTGTGTCAATATCTCCATTTTTTTTAGATTTTCTGTATAAATAATGGTCTGTTAGATAGGAAGATTATCCTTTTAGAAAAGCCAAAATCAATATGCGTCTTTACGGTTCCCAATATGTAGTAAGCGTAGATTTGATTTGATTTGAATTTGGATTGAAGTTTATAGTGCAAGTATGTTATCAAGAAACATCTGTAATGGATGTCATAGCTGGGATTAGTCTCGTATTCCAAGATATTACAGGCATGACAGATATAATCTTGATATAGCTTCCTACATACCTCTAACCATCGGGAAAATGAAGAGTAAAATCGTTTAATCGAGTTCAAATCGTCAATGAAAATCCATTATCGTCTGAACAAATCAGTCTGTTTATACAAATATAGCTTGTCGTCTGCTTAAAGTGTGGTTGTAATATTGTGAGTTTGTCTATTAAATAGGGATTGCTCAGGTGAGTTTATAAACGTTTTAAACTGAAACTGAATTTTGTGTCTTACTTTAAGAAATTATAATGGATTGGAAAAAGCAAATTTTAAGGTACAATCGATACACATTATGTGTGCATGTTGGTGAACTGGAACGCTGAACTTGGAAATTGTTTTTGCAATGAAAATTAGCTTTGCGTTAGTAGTGTAAGATGAAATTAGCAGGCCTACGACAGTTATTGTAATCTCATGTGTCCATTTGTATACGTTTTTTTTATCTTCTAATGATTGAATAACATCTGATTTATTGCTTGGTATTCCAAAGGTAAGTGTCAATTTAGTAGTATTAGGGGGTGAAAGCCGACACTGAACCGACTCTTGGAAGCAAAGGATTTTGTTAACCTCGAGGAAGGTTTGAACACAGGGTAAGAGGTGTCGAATAAGAAAAAGATATTAAACTCTTCAAATTGTTTAATGTCATGTACTTTATTAATTTAGTGAAATGGGGTGATATCTTCAATGATCACTTTTACTCATTATAGGCTACTCGTCGCTATCAATTATACCTCAATAAATATTAGAAACTAATACCGATATCAAATCTCCAAAAAGAAAATAAGAGGCCTAGTATCTTTTAACAAAATATCAGAGTCAGATCTTGACATCAATAATGACATTGAATGATAATCACCACATTCCTTATTTTAATGATCAATTGAATTTCTTCAAAACTTCGAAAGTTATCGATCTTTGTTATAAACATGGACGTATCATTTATTTTTTCATCCTGGTCAATAGTTGATAACTATATATAGACACAGCTTTATGGAACAACAATCACTGGTTAAAGTTTTTTGCAACGTTTCGACGTGTTTCCTCCAGTGATTGTTGTTCCATAAGGCTGTGCCTATATATCGTACTCACAATTGCTAAATGCCATTCAAAGACTTTAGTTGATAACTATATCAGAAAGTAAAGTCGGTCTAAATCCGTACTGAGATTTTAATCGAAAATAAAGTTCCAATAACCTCTGCAGTCTGGACTAAGTTTCTTGTGGACTTTTCTTAGGCTACACATCTATGTTCGTCGAATCAATTATTTTGAAACGAGGGTATATTGAAGCATGAACGATATTTTGAAAACTGTTACTGCTGTCATTCGCTCGTAGAAAGTATCATAAAATTATTTCCAGTCTAGGTTAAATATTAGAATCAACTAACAAACATTACTAACAGACTTTAACTTCTTATTAATTTTTAAATATATGTGTAAGCGTCAAAAAATTGAAAATGTCCCCCAAAATCACATAGTGTCTGTGACTTAATTGGACAAATTCTATCGGATTACTGGCTTCGACGATTCTAAAAGCAACTGGTAATTTCATGTGAATTGTAATAATAAGAAAATAAATGTTTTAGTCTCAGTGGATACGAACTTTAAATCTTTTGAATTCTGTGTAGTGTAAGATCCTCTGGGGTTGGAAGGCCAGAAAGAGAATGGCATAGCAATATTTCCCAAATGGCATTTGGCTATGCCAATCTTCAATATGAAGTAAAACACACGTGCTCAACCCCAACATGGGTTGAGATGAAACCATTTTCACTCGTGTTCCCTCCCGCCAGTAATGTAGCTGTCATTTAGCTGAATTTTATGGAAAAGCTCCTGGTAGTTCAAATGGGACAAATCGAGGAAACGTGTGTTATTTAGCAATATTTTAAAAAATACTGTGTACGTTAAGAATCCCTCGACATTGCCGCTTTGATGGAATAAATTACTGCATAGCATTTCCGTCCTCATTAGCACGTACAGGTGCAGGTTTCATCTTATACGATATCGCTATTTATCAAACTTTTCTTGATCAACCTCGGGCAGGTTATGTTCACAATTTTTGTAAGAAAAATATATATTTTTTAAAGAAGTTGTTTTTGTTAAAACAGACATAATTTGTTAGATGATTTCCAGACGTATAAATTATTCCTGAAAAAAAGACACAAAAAATCTTTGAAAATGATCTTCTATAATAAAACGCCCCAGAAGGGTTTTATAGGTTGGTAAACAAAACATGAAAACACGTGTGAGTGTAAATATATTACTATAATATATTCTGTGGTGTAAGGGTTAACGAATGTGACTTTCTGTTCATATCAACAGTCATTTCATACAGCTGAAACTACACCCTTTTCCCTTGACAACCACATGAGTAGGGTTTGTGCCCGGGATTTTGCTCTCCTGCATTCTGACACCGACACCACCTTGTGAGTCAATTTAATGCCGGTAAATGGCAGATTGAAAGATTTCCGTCTGTAGTTAATGTTATTCCACTGATTTATATATTGCCGGGGTGTTTAGTTTGATTAGTTTTTAAATTTTGTACTACTGAGGATGAAGGCTCCTAGGGTTGGGACCCCGCAAACTTCCACCATCTTGGCAGGTGAGCCACTGTCCTTTGAAAGATAAAAGATAAGCTAGAAAAAAATCACGGAACAAATATGCAAGTATATACAATACATCATTTTGTTCATGAGACTGTAAGTAACGACAGCTTCGAGATCACATATCACACCTCATTCAGTGCCTGTCACCGTAGCTTTTGGTAGACAGCAACTTACACAGACCAGGTAGGTAGGTAGATGACAAGTTAACGTTCGCTTCCAGCGGGTGCTGATATCGCAAACTAGGTAGTTGTTGGTAGTCGTAGTAGTTGGTAGTTGGATTGGATCAAATTGGATGATTCGGTGTTGTTGGTTTGGTTGTTGATTCTTCGTTAGATCTGGTCGGGTCGAATGACATGGCGGTGAAACTCGGCCCTGGATGGTGTGGCGTGAGCTACTCGGTCTCCTTCATTCTTCCAAACTCGTTCTGATCATGGTATTTCTTGTTGATTGGTAGTCGAATGGTAATCGTTGGTTTGGTTTGGTTTGGTTAGATTATCTGTTATCTGTTGGAAAAAGTGAGAAAAAGAGGGAGGAAAGAGGGGGGGGGGGGGGGAAGCTTTCACAAAAGGGGGGAGAGATGTTCTCTAATGTTTCTGCAATGAAACTTGTTAAATTGATTGGATATAATTAAAAAGTGTTAAGGAACTTTGAGTAAAAAAAACTTAGCCTATCTGTTCAAGACAGATTTGGTTATAAAATGGAAGACTAGTTCCATTATCGTATACCAGTGGTCCGTGGGTGGAGCCAAAACATTCTGTAGAAGATACGATACTGCAGAACTCCGAATAGGAGTATTCTACAGGCTCGATATCCTCCAGACTCAGACTTTCCTTGGCACAACGGTCTGCTTGATCATTGCCAGGAATGGAGACGTGCGATGGAACCCATACTAATTCAATCTTCTGGTTGTTGTTGGTTTGGTAGTTGTGGATCATTCTTCTTATTTCGGAAATAACTTCTGACCTGCAATTAGAAGAGGTGAGAAAAATAGATTGGAGGCTGCTTAGCGAGTCGGATAGAATCGCGGCATGCTCCGTGTGATTGAGGGACAGCCATGCTACCGCGTCCCTGATGGCAAAAAGTTCTGCTGTGAACACTGAACAGTGCGGGGGGGGGGGGGGGTCCTTTTACTGATGCGGATGCCTTTTGCTGGGATGCACAAACCGTAACCTGTTGCGGTACTACTCTTGGAACCATCGGTGTAGATCTTCAAATGGTCGGCGTACACGGAATCAATGAGATCAAGAGCGTGAGCTCTTGCTCCCACTGGGTTCTCGTGCTTGTTGGTACTCTGGATCAGCTGGGTGTTGACTGTCGGGTTGGTAAACTTCTAAAACGGAGTAGCCGATAGGCGGCGTTCAAGGATCGTTACTTGATCGAGCTGATGCTCTCTCAATAGATCAATGACCGCTTGCCCGTAAGAAATACTCCGATTCGTCTGGTTATTTCCGACACGAGTAAATCTTCTGATGCTGGAATACGTCGGACAGCTTTCGGACAAATACTGAAGTTTCCCCCAGAATTTGAGAGATAGCTCCTCCCTCCGAAGAGAGAGGGGTTTCTCTCCCACCTCCTGAAGTAGCGCCTCATTCTTCGTACCGAACGTTTTGATCCATTGTTGACCGTTTCTGTCTGTAGCCGCTTTGGTTGGGATCGATAAGACCATTTAGTTCACAGTGGTATCTAAGTCTATTATTGACCATCGTCTCAAATGTTTTACATAGAGTCGAGGTCAGAGAAATAGGCCTGTATGAACTGCATAGACTTTTATCTTTCTGCGGTTTTGGTAGAGGAATGACCATTGCCGTTTTCCAACTTTCCGGAATTGTACCATTATACCATGATTTGTTGAATAATTCTAGTAGAACTGTAGACGCTTCCATTGGTAACTCCTTTAACATGCTGTACTTGATATTATCTTCACCAGTAGCACTGTCTTTCTTACTGTACAGTGCTTTCTTCAGCTCGTCGAGGGAGAAGGGAGCGTTAAGATCCCGTTCATCCTCTAAGGGCGAATGATGAATTGGAGTGTGGTTGGTGTAGAAGGCCTTCTTGTTCTTTAGAAATTCTTTGGTATGGTTGGTATCAGCACTGCCGTCAGCATAACACTTGGCTAACAAATTGGCTTTTCCTTCATTGCTGTATTCTGTGGAATCCCTGTAACAAAGAGTTGGAATGGAAGAATTAGATTTTTTACCAAGCATTGAGTCTATTTTACCCCAGACAGATCTTAGGTTGGTCTTCTCATTTAATGAGTTGCAGACCTCCTGCCAGTGCTTTGTTTGTGATTCACGCAACAGAGCAGCTGTAGAAGCCTTGACCGCTAAGTATTCTGCCTTGGTATAATGGTCCGATTTCCTCTGAAACCGTCGTAGAGCCCGCTTGCGAGCATCCACGGCAGCCTGGAGTTTATCGGATCACCAGGACTTGGGTGACCTACGTGCAATGCCATCCTTAGTCCGGCGAATAGAGCCCATAGCAGCATCAGTAATAACCTGAGTCAACTTCCCAGAAAATCTAGAGACGTCCTCGTCCCTTGCCAGATCTAGCTTGGAACGAGTGAAATGACGCCTAAAGAAATCCCAGTTAGCCTTCCCTAGTCTCCATTTGCCTTGACACATGACTTCCTACTTCACAACATTGCGTGACAGCGTGATTTCAATGACAACATGGTCACTTCCAAGGGTCTCACTGGTTGCTTCCCACGTACAGTCTTTAGCTAACCAACTGCTTACTAATGTGAGATCGAGATGCGAACCAAGAGGAGCAATTGCACCAACATAAGTAATGCTACCATCATTTATGCTAACCAGGTCATTGGCCTCAATGAACTCAGCAACTTGTCTACCATTAGTGTCAGTTGTTGGCGAGCCCCACAATACGTGTTTGGCGTTGAAATCACCAAGCACAATATTGTCGGTCCCGGGCAACTGATTGTAAACATACTGATATTCACTGAATCGTTGAGGTTTGCCTTTGACTTCGGGTCGATAAATATTAACGATAGAAAAAACCTTTGACTTGTCGGTAAAGGATACCGCCTGTGCCTCCAGAGGAGCGATGGTTTTCAGAGGAACCTCACTATGGGATATACCATTTTTGATGTAGATGGCCAGACACCCACAACTTCGATGGTTGAGAGCATTAGGTCTGTTTAATCTGATCAAAGTATAACCATTGATGATAGGGTCTTTATTCCTTGAACCGAGCTTGGACTCTTGGAGAAAAACGGCATCATACTGCTTCCTTTGTAGTAGCTGTACCAGTTGGGTCTTTCGTTCAGGTACGTTCAAACCATTGATGTTCAGCTGTGTAAACCTGAAATTGAATGTGAAATAATTAATGACTTAATGGATCAGTATGGTTTTTAGCATGGGGTTTGGGGTGCCGTAAAAACCTCTACGTCCATTTCCGTTACTGAGCCAGTGGGCAGTGGTCTAGCTAGCGAAGTGCTTCTAGAGCGCTCAGTCACGGGTCTGGAGCCTGTACTTCTGCAGATGCTCCTTGACTGACGAGGTTGGCCACTCGTGGATACCGCCTTTACTTTTCTTGGCGTTTCCACTGATTTGGCACAAATGTTGAGTGTCTTTCAAGTCATTGCTATGACATATCAAGGTTCTGATCACGTGATCTTTACAGATGGAGGCTGAAAGTCAGTATCGGGTGTGTCCACATTGTACGTTAATAACGGCCCGGTATCTTATGTACATGGAGTGGCACAAACGATTTACAGATGCCATCTGCACTGAGTTCTGCTGCATTTCTTGGTTGGGTTTAGTCGTCTTTGTATGTCATCCCACAAGTGTTCTATTGGGTTTACGCACGACTGAGTGGGGGCCATAGCATTACTCTGATGTTGTGCTGTTGGAGGAAGGTTCTGGTGGCTATGGCAGTGTGTCGACGGGTGTTGTCATGCTGGAAGGTGTGGTTTCGGCGTCTTGCAAAATGCGGTACAAAGTGGGGTTGGAGAACGGATGGTTGTGATTACATGGCCTCTGCCTGGGCCTATATTCTTGAAGACAACAGGTCCAAGTTTCTGATTGATGCCGATTGCACCTCGTACCATAATGCTTGGTCCTCCCCATGGGTCTCTTTTAACCACACACTGTTCTGTAAATCTTCTACGCGACAATCGTACTCCATCTGCGGTGGAAACTCTCATCTGAGAACACGTGGATCCTCCACTGCTGATGTCGCCAATGTTGTCGTTGTTGTTGTTGTTGATGGACCAACGCAAAATGTTGCTAACGATGATGGGGAGTGAACACCGGGCTCCTGTATGGACGGCGCCAAGAGAGGTCTGGGAGGTGAGCCGAATTCGAACGGTATCAGCACTGGTTGTTGATGGTGGCCAATGGTTTGACGAGCTGTCTGTGCCGCTGTGGTGAATCTCTCATACAGATGTTGCCGCAGGATACGTGGACGTACGTGGACGGCCATCAGTGCTGTTGGTGGTGTTGTAACGAATCCTAAATCTCTCAATGGTTCGTGCACTACAGTTAAATGCATTGGCAATGACGTTGTCCGGCATTTAATCGTCCGATGGCTTGTTCACGTTGTTGAGAGGTTAGATATGCCATGAGCTCGCTGTCAGAACAGCAACTGAATTCTCAGTTTGTTTTTATACACAACTCTGGTACGTGTTGCACGTGCATATCGATTTTTCAGCGCATCACTTACAACTTGTTCCCACGGACATCTGACAGTTCCCAAGGTTCACAACTCTTATATCGAATGTCATACACTGGTCTTTTTAAAGTCTAAAAATCATATTTTTAAAGAAAAATAACAATTTTGATCGTGCACGACTTTGTCCAAATAATCTAAAAATGCGTCGTTTCTTTATCTGTTCAGTACATTAGCTAATTGAGAGATCCAGTATTCATTACATTCATGCAATTGAAAAATAAATATGCCCTAACTAATAATTAAACCAAGCTGTCTAATATATGAAATATCTTTATTATGATTTTGCTTTTGGGCATTCATTTTCTTTCCTGTTCTCCACATGATTCTCATTTGTAAATTTGCCAAGTTTTCAAGAGCTTTCGAGAATTAGAGATTTCCTTGTTTTATTAGAACTTAGCCGACTTAATCATCGGTTCAGGTTCACAAAATACGCATGAAGATAAAATTAAGGTTTGCACGCGATTGAATAAAAATTTCGACAAAAATATACATTTGAACCTTCCTGTCTGTCAGAATGCACTCATAGTCTAAAGGAGGCATTTCGTTTGCTATTGACGCGGCTTTTTTCCTACTTTATTGAGAGGATAACTTCAATTAATCTCGCCAAAAAACCCGATTTTCGGAATAGATTTATATGAAATTTAAGAGATATTCAAGGCTTTTTTTTTTGAGGGATTATTTTTTCAGGTAATGATCTACATTACAATAATTATAATTTGAGTTAATGTGTCACATGATAGATTACCTCCCCATGCTGATATCGGAAGTTAAAACGATGAATATTGATCAGAACTTCCGGTTTTATCGATTGGTAGATCGGGTATCAACCTTCTATGCTTGAAAGACTTTTACATTAATGTATTTTATCCTTTTCTATCTGTAATAGTATTTCCTCAAACAAGTATTCTTTGCTAAGTTTCGTGCTGATACATTTGCCTGTAATTTTGACCGTAAAGAGTCAGATTTGCCACGCGTCTAACTAATTGTACTTTTAATCTTAGAAACGTGATTTAGCTGAGCTAATCAGTAATATTATTTACAGCTGGCCCTCGAAAACATGTGTGTCAAGAAATATCCGCGTTGAATGTTAAAATGACGTCATTTCTTGAGTCGCTGCCATAATATAATGTATAAAAGACATAGAAATAGAAAGTGAAATTCCTGGAGTTATGAGGGGGTTCCTTTAAAGAACCCTTTAAACAGAAAGTCGGTTTCATATTAACTGATTTTTTAAGGATCTCATAAAACCCACTTTTATTTTCGTTCGCTGTTGGGTATTCAATAAGCCATGGTACTAGAATCTTTATGCTCCATCCAGGATCCAGCAATCATCCATAGTACTGTTTTGTCGGTTCGCAGACACTAACGTCACCTAATTCGGGCTTTCAGGTCCTCCTGATGGACATTGAGACGCTAATGATAATATGATCTTGATTATTCCAGCAAGTCTATTAGTTTTTAAATTTGTAAGTTAGATTTGTTTTCAAGGCTGTAGGATATAATCCAATTGTCGATGTTAATTTCGGGATTTCTGGTAATTTCCCTACAGGATGGAAATCTAGACTAATTACTAGACGAAATGTTCCTATAAAACCAGTCATTAAACCGACCTGATTATATTACTATTGTAAACTTACTTTACACCTGCTATATCTGTTCATAGTTTTATTACCATTGGGTGAATGGACAACTTAACACACATTACAGATAGACCTTTTTCAGAATAGAAAGGATTAACATTTGACTAGACTAGTCTCGGGAAACGAGACAAAAGAATGTGGACTTACTATTGAAGATCACTTCTTCATTTCAATCATGATTAATCAAAAATGAAAAGTGTTCAGATCTGAATAGTTCGTTGTCTAGTTGCCAATATATTCCGTCAAAACTGGGTTGGGACTCGCTGAGTGTAACTGATTGTAACCTTTTACAGGCTCAGGTGTTTATTTTTATAATCGACGGATTACTTCCTTATTGCCACATCCTAATTCACTCTACCAAACTGTTTTAGAAGTAGATAATAATCCTAAGCTAATCTAAGGGTATAAGTAGAACAACAACAATGATAGTATCTTGGCTCTAATAGGAAAATTGGAACCCGATAATGACCTTTATCAATCAATCAAAGAGTTTTCTGACATTTTTCCGGTGCATAACAGGAAATCTACGAATATCATTCCAAGACCTCATAAGTAAGCCTCACATAGCTTTTCTTTTTCTTTTTTGACTTGACCTACATTCGTAAAATTCGAATAAGTGTCTGATTCCTAGTCTGGGTGAAGCATACACTCTGAGAGTATCTTTATTTATGTACTATCTTTATGTATACCTCTTCTAGAATATGTTTCAGTATAAATCATCTTATCTTATTTCTAATCTACAACACGATCTTTTGCTTTGCTAAAAGTTTGATCTAGTTTACATATTTTTTCAGGAAGACGGTAATGAAATCTAGTGTTTTATTGTATGTGGGTGTTGATATAATGGATGTTGCAATATTAAGATTAGGTTAAATCTCCTTAAACCTGCAAATTTCTATATATAAGCTTATCTTGGTACAGTATAAGCTGTAAATATCCGTGACATTTCAGATTGCTGAGATCATTCGATTCTGTACAGATGTGATTTTTTATATAATATCTAACTTCATTCTCAGCACAAATAAATAATCCTTTGCACCGAGTAAACTGTGGACGCCATTCTTTCAATGTGTAGTTGGCCAAGTTTATTCCGTTCAAAAGGTACATTTATCTCGAATGACCAGAATATCAGTTTAAAAAAATGGAGTGTGATTTGAACACAAATGTACGTTCTATACTTACCGTAAACTAATCTTAGTTAAAACAACCTGGCATAATACTGAAATACTTAAAGATAGCTTGCCAGGTAAGGTAACATACACCCACTACCAGCTGTCAGAAATGATAACAAAGTCTGTAGTGGTTTAATATGTGAAACCAATCATCCGATTGTTACTAATTTCAAGCTGAGATCTCATACCAAGCTTCATCAAGATCGAATAATAAATGTAGTCTCTATCAGGCCCACAAGCCAAATTAGACGCATTGAATTAATTCAAGGGCAATAACTCCAATATCATTCATCCAATTATGACCTTTTTTGAACTTGAGATTTCATCAATATATACATGCATACCAAGTTCAGATAAAAAAAAATGCACCCTGTATCACGACAACAAGCCAAATTTGAAGCGTTTTTACTAAGTCAAAGTCAGTAACTCCAAAACCGTTCATCCGATTAAGACCAAATTCAAACTTGACCGAGATCTCATCAATATATGTTAAGTTGTTTCATCAAGATCGGATAAAAACTGTAGTCTATAGAGTGTCTACAAGCCAAATTTGACGCGTTTTTATTAAGTCAAGGGCAATAGCCCTGAAATCGTTAATCCAATTATTACAAATTTCGAACTTGACTAAAAACCTTATCATTATATACATGCATACTGAGTTTCATCAAGATGGGATCAAATTTGTAGCCTTCATCGGGCATACAATCGGGACGGACGGACAGGGGCGACGGCAATATACGTCCATATTTCCATGTGAGCGTAAAAAAAACGTTGCAAGACACAAGAAAGGTTGACAGGAGTCAACACCTGATTTTCGCCTGACTTATACTGATCTTATATTTATGAGGTATAAAAACTTCTATGAATAAATGAATATTTAATCAATTTACTATTCAGAAATAGCCTAATTCCGATAATAAATGATTTGTGAGGCGATACAAAACTACGTAACTATTATTATTACTACAAAAATCTGTCATTGTGTACTTTTACAATACCTGTGCTGTATCATTCAAGGGATGTAATTCATGTTAAAAGTATTGAATATTTTGGAAAGTTGGTCAGTCAGTAAACTTCCCAATGTAGAGTAGAGTAAATAATAAAAAAATGTTAATATCGAATCCTATGGGAACCTTTCCAATCTCAATAAAGGCTTGAAGTTATTAAATCTTACCCGTATTTGAGTGACCTAAATTGCTTTTTTTATGGAGTGTGTATAAAGAATTACTTTTAAATTATTTCCCTTGGAATTATTTGATAAAACAAGACATAACAAATAGACATTTTTACAGAAATTCTCTTGAGAATACCAACAATAACACTTTAGCGTATAAAAATTCCTATAACCCATTACTGTATTCCTGGTAAGATATGGAGTTATTGTTTTTAGACTGATATATAAGATCTTTAATTTAAAAAAATCGTAGAATTTGAATTCAAACTGTCATTATTATAAGAATGTTCATTTCTTCCCCTTACTTTAAAAGGTAGCAAATATAGCAGGGGTTCAGTAGTGTGAAGGAATGTTCGTGTCTATGTCTATCAGCACACTTAAAGCTTGTTATTACATCATTCTTATTTCCTGTTATTCCTGAAATTGAAAGTAAAAACCTCAATAAAATATGACGTTTGGACCAGTTAG